GCCGCCCCGCCCGGCGCGGCCCCCCCGGTCCCGGCACCCCGCCGCTTTATCCGCTCCGCTCCCACAATCTGTCGAGGCGGCAGCTCCCGGCTCGCGGATTGGGCTAAAGGAAAAGCTCCCGGCTCCCTCCTTCCCTGCACCGCTCTGGCCCCGCTTCCCGTGGGATTCCCGCTATCCACCTTGCTCCATCCTGGGGCGTTTCGGTGCTTTGGGAACGGCAGGAGGGAGGAGCAGAGCGCGTTGGCGCGGGATACGCGCAGCCGGGCTGTCCTCCGGCCGGGCTCTCCCGGTTTTCCCCCTGGCCATGGGCAAGGAGGCGGCCAGGAAAACCCTCCCGGGGACGGTGGCTTCGCGGCCGCCCGGATTAAGCCGCTTCCCTGTCCCTAATCTCCGCCGCTCCCGCTCGGCAGGCGGCTCCCAGGAACGCAGCGCGTTTACGTTTCTGCCCTCTCTTTTTCTTTCTTTTCCCTCTTCCCCCCGTTCTCTCCTAATGAGATGCTAATCGGGGCTCTCCGGAGCGGAACGTGGCGCCCGGCCCCTCTCTTGGGCAAGAGCCGCGGCCGCGTTTCCTTCCCCGCCTGGGCCCGCTTCCCTTCGCAGCCCCTGGGCGCTCCGGGGCGCTCCGAGTCGCCCCGCAGCTCCGGGATGGATGCACGGACGGCCCGGACGGTGCCCGAGGCTGCCCGGTTCATCCCGGCTCTCCCTCCTCCCCAGCTGCCTCGGAGGAGACGGGATGGGATGAGCGCCCTGAGCTTCCCCCGTGGGGAAATGCCAGCGGGGACGCGGGATTTGGGAGCTTTTTCCACCAGCCAACGAACGTCCAAGTGGGGAAGGGAGGCCGTGACGGGGGTGTCCCCGGGGCAGGAGCTGCTCGCTGGCTCTTTGCCCCGGAGCAGAGGGCGCTGAGTCACTCCAGGCGCTGGCTCCAGGGAATGGGCTGCCCGGATAGCTCGACCTCCCTGGACACTGACCCAGGAGGAGAGGAGCGGCGCGGAGCCGGCGTCCCGGGCGCTTCCCAGCGCGCTTCCCAACGCTCTCCCGCTCGCTCTCTCCCTGCAGTGCGTCTTCGACGACCTCAGCGGCTCCGTGTCGCTCTCCTGGGTGGGAGACAGCACCGGGGTGAGTCCCCGGCACGGCGGGAAGCGGCGGGAATGGCTGCGTGTCCCTGCCGGGAGGTGCGGGCTGGGCGGGAGATCCCAGGGTGGCCCCGGGACCGGTCGGACCGAGGCGGTGACTCAACGCGGAGCAGCGAGGGGAAT